TATATGCAAGAACAGGCTCAATGATTAATTAGATGGAACATTGTGGGTGTGGTGTATGAATGTTAACACTTTGTAATAATTCTTTAGTATATTACTTGTGTGGTGTAGAAGATAATTATTTAAGAATGTAATTATGTAAGAATGTTAACACTCTGTTATAATTTTTTTAGTATATTACTTGTGTGGTGTAGAAGATAATTATTTATGTAGAGATACTGCTTGTAAACCAATGATGGTAAGATGATGTCATGGGGTAGGACTGGATAAGTCTGACTTCTTCCTACTCCATTCAAGCATGTACTAGGTATAAGCAAATTGATATTGGATTAGCATTTGTTGGATATGTGTAAAATTATGTGTGTTGACATATCAACTGCCTTTACATGCTTGAAAGAAAAGAATAAATCAAATCAATTCACCATGCAGGTGGCTTTGACCCACAAATGACATTTAATTCATCTCCATTTTGGAAGACGTTACAATGGAACATACAAATGTGAAAATCCCAGCTCATGAAACCCAAATTCTCTGCATGGCTAGGTACAACAAGGGTAAGAAGAAAAACGCATACTTTTGGAATTTGGGAGAATTTTTGGTGATGCCTTTAATGCCTGTTTAGGCAATGTATTTTATGCCCAGCAAGTTTTATGCTCTTATTTGGTGTCTGTGTTACGGACACTGCAGCAGAAAACGAGACAGCATGTGCACGGGAGCATGACCACAGAATCACCGCTGTGTGGTCATGCCAGGGCATTGATTTCACTCTTCATGCTCTATTTGTATTGTGAGCTCCTGGTTGCTGTTAGCATGAGTGTGAAGGAAATCAACAATAACGTCATCAAAGCGTAATAATTGTAAAGTAACTGTCATCAGTGTTTTATGATGTTTCTGGCAGGATATTTTTCTTTTTGCTGGCTTTCCATGTTGCATCATCTGACTTTATGAAGCATTTAAGCACCACAGCAGCTGCAGAGAACTACTAACTCATGCCATGAACAGTGAAGTTTTAATTCAGATGTCCATTAAGTTAGAGGTTTACAAGGCTAAATACAGTATCTTATTGTTACTCTAACAGGAGGAGGTGACAAGGGGGTGGAAATGGCCCTGCTGCTTAGTTACATACTAAAGAAGGGGTCCCAGCCATCGCTTGACTTCCAGAGGCCTCTTTACTCTCCTGCAGGCACACACAAGAGACATGGGCACCATTGGCCTCTAGGGACTGTCAGAACCTACAGGGTGGCCACTCAGGATGCCTTACAGTACGCAAAGGCATCAGAGATCATGGTTTCTCATATGGTGATCTGGTGGTCTGACCACCACCTCAGTGCAAAATGAACAGCTCCTACAGACAGAAATTGATGCAGGTCTTTGCTGGCTCTTTGGCACCGTAGGTTTGGCCTTTCCAACTTGGGTGTGAGCAAGCAAAGAGGATCATTCTTACCTGCAGGTTCTTCCTCCAAACATTGACGGCCGCAAAGGCCAGCTGCATCTGCTTCCTGCGGGCGTCTTTATGGCGCTTGTAGGCGATTTCAATGAAGATAAGGAAGATCCCTGCTGCTATTCCTCCAGCCACCAGCATGAAGACCCCTGTTGGAGAGGGACAGATGAAGAGAAACAGTGCTCAGATCGAGATTTGCGAGTCAGTGGGCTACAGACCTGCCGCTCCCACTGAGCATGAATGCACAGTTCTACCCATCATGCTCAGTGGTTGCCCATCCTTTTTTCTACCAGCTCCTACTGACGACGATGGCTGCAAACCACACAGTAGTAATGGAAGACCACCACCGCACAAAGCCACAGCACAAGATACTGTACGACACTGTTCCACAGAGCACCCACACCGACACTAAGACAACAATTTTGTATAGGCATTGGACAAAAAAGGCTACAGTACCTTACCACTGCAGTTTTTGTCCAATCACTTTTAACGCTTTCTCTACACCTTAAGGACCATACCTGCCATGTTTTCAAAGGTGAGTGTGGCTGGGGCATTGCTCCTTGAGTCACACTCCTGGTATCTCACCCAGGTTTTATCTAGGTCTTCCATGAAGCCATTCTCATGAGAACTGCAGGGGGTTGGGGATGGTGGAGAGAGAGGTGACAAAGTTAAGATTCACTGCAGTGGTGGAATATTTGAACCGCTTACTCCCAGATAGCAACATAAATAAAACAGAGACAGTTGGACAGGTGTTGTGACAGACATACACTTGACAGAGAAAAACAGACAGGGGAGGAAAGGGAAGCTACGAAAAGAGTAGATGTGACATAAGGCAATGTATTGGATGGCTATAAATGGTCAGTAAGTGACCATAAAATCAAATCAATAAGAAACAAAAAAAAGTCATACGAGTAATGCAGCTTCGGCTGGGACAGACCTGAGAATGGCCAGGGACACATTCTGTTTCCAGGGGCTGTCCTTGCGCATGCCTATGCCAAAGCCCGAACGGAAAAACAGCTCTCCCGTGGTCACCAGGTCGCACTTCTGCGAGGCTTCAAACTCCAGCACCGCAGAGTCCCAGATGAAAGCATGCAGCTTGCTGTGGGGGAGGGGGAGGGAGGAGGAGGGGAAGGAGGGGGTTATGATGCAACAGTACAATGATTTACATACACATTTACGGCTCCCATCCCCCTTTCTCTCGCACACCAGATCGTGTGTGTCATTCAGCGTTTACCAGCCATCTCTACCGCTGCTTATGGCCCAAATGAAATCCAATGGCAGATGGGTGAGGGCACGTCCCCTATTGGATTCCACCCATCTCAAAGATGTTCGTCGGGTACAACCTGAAAAAAGGGTGCTCTTCGACTCAGTGTTAGCTCAACCTCACACTGGTGTTGGTGCTGTTGACATGTCCACACCTGATGCTGTCCCTGGACGCCTGTCTTGGCTGGGTGATGGACCTGGATCAGGAGGAATGCAGCAGCAGTAAGTCCGTCTGTTTCCGCCTGATCCAGAGGTCCATATAAACACCCCCCAACCTCACCAACCCCACCACCACCCCACCATGAGCTGACTGGACTGGCCCTGTTCTGTGTGCCTTATACTGTAGGTCGAGCAGCCGGATGACACGTGCTCTGGTCGGCCCACCCTGGCCGAGACTCACTTGTCACGCACAGCCTGGATAGCCTCTGCAGCACTCTCATAGTTGTGCTTCTCCATATGGCGGTACATGGTGCTTAGCTCCACCTGCCGCCGGAAATAGATGTCCACAGAGCTCTGCTTCACCGTGGCATAGATGAACTTATCTGATGGGTTTCTCAGCTATACAAAGAGACAAAGATAAGACATAAGCAGTCAACTTCCACTGATGTAAAATGTATATGTTTACACCCACATGCATGTATTTATAGAAATAAAAATGTTGTTGTGTAGTAAGATGGTCCTAGCATCCCCTACACACCCTTGGGTCATTGATGCCGGTGATGCGCTCCTCGGGCCGGTCCAACACCAGGAAGGCAGCCAGGTTGGCAGTATAAGAAGCCACAATGATCATAGCAAAGCCAGCCCACACCATACCCAGGATTCTTGCCGAAAAGCTGCGCGGTGCACCTGTGTAGTGAGTTTTAACCTTTCAGCTCATTCAGTAATGTAGAGTCATTACTGTAGCTGGACACCTTCACTTCTGTTAACTGGTACTTCTACCACGCACTACTGCTAACCCCTAACATCTGTTATTACTACTAATGTTACACTTACTACTGCAATAATAACAATAACACAACCATGACCCTATAGAGTATTATATACACTTTACAACACAACCTAAAACAAAAGAAATTATCAAAAAAAAAAAAATAACCCACTAAAATAGTCAATATGAAGACAAATAAAATAAGCAAAGGCAAAAGGTACAAACTGTTAAAAGACAAACTGCATCAAAGGCTGTCTCTACAAAGGAACTAATGTGTCATCATCAAAAAACCTCCACAATCAGGCAACACCTGGAGCCACAACTGCCTTGATGTTGTTTTTTTTTTCCAACTGAAAAACAGCGCTCAGATCAGAGTACTCAACAGCATGACAAGTGTTCTATGAGAACGGGGACATTTACTGCTCAGTAGCTGATGTTTTGCAGATTTTTAATAATGATTATTTTTTGTCTCCATCTCTCCCACTGGCTGTGGCTCACCTTCTCCTATTCCAGAGTTCAGCAACACTCCCCAGGAGAACCACATAGCAGATGATAAGGTGAGGGCATCTTCTTCTTCTTCTTCACTGTTTACTTTAAATCTTCCAAACGGGCTAGAGGGGTGAAATTGGGAGGGTTGCAGGAGATAAAGTGAGAACTCGCTAAGAAAATGTAAAAGGGAAAACCCTGGTGATGCCAGGCAGTGGAGATAACTGAACATGACCAAACAAAGCAAGAGGGCAACAGATTCCTCAGAAAGAAAATACACAAACACAGGGGCACAAGAGCAGAGGAGTGCAATGTTGGAGCTTCACCTCTGTCTGCCCTCGTCTCCACACTGAGGGAAGATCTATAGTGTTTAGGAGTGTATGTATACACACACACTGTTTCAGTCATGAATACACACACACACACACACACACACACACAGCTCTCCCTTGTACCTGAACCGGTCTAGTAGGTAAAGCATCACCGCCACCACATGCACCGATAGACCCACCAGCAGCCACAGTGTGCTTTGGAACGGCTGCATGAACGAGTCCAGTGTACTGCGAGGGATTTCCTGAAAACACACAACCCAGCTAGTTAACGATACATATTTTTGAATACTTAGTTTGCATAATTATAAACCATTCAACGTTTTCATTGTGTTACCTTGTGTTTGTGCCGTAGAAAACAAGGTACCAAATAACAGGTCGGGCATATTTGGAATTTGTGACCCAGTAGAGGCACAGGGAATAAAAAAAAAGGCCTAGAGGATTCCATACCTGGATGATACATCTAACTCCCCAGTGGTTGTTTGACGTGACAGATCATTAAACAGAATACTTACCTTTTTAACAAGGATGGTGAGGCCTTGATATTTAAAGGGTTTGGAGAACTCAATGTACTGGGCTCGTTCGTTGTTTATAGTCAATGGGGCAACAATCATGTCAGCCAAGCCCCCTAGGAGCTCTCCCATCATGCCATTCCACTCTTTCTTGTTGCTGTTGTTCACCTGGATTCCCAAAGAAAAGGTGTTAACATGAGACTGTGCTATCAACCTACTGCCATCTAGACCACAGAATATTTCCAGACCTCAAGAATTTGGGTTAAGCCTAGTGGGGATATAAATGTTAGGACACATGTGGAGCACATTTTCAGAACTTTTTCTAACATAAAAAAATGAAATTGCAGATTTTTCAGCTGATGTTCTCCATAAAGGAACTGTTCTTTTTGTTTGGTAGATTTTCAAATTGTTTTTGCAATGTTGTGTTTCTTTCATAATAAATCTGATTAGCACTTCCAGATGAACTACAGTACTCAGTAATGGTTACTAGGGCTTTCTAATCATTTACTGTAGATACCGAAAAACTGACACTTGATCAAAGGCTGCTGGCAAATTCACCTGGTGGACATTTGACACCTGTGGATATGACTGCTTATGATTTCAGCTCTGAGAAGTTAATGAGAACACTGTTGTTGGTGGAGTAAAATAAAACACTAAAAAGGGTTAAAGTTATGGAAGGTACTGAATGTAACATAATGCATGCAACCTGTGCCTCATGCAAAAAAAAAAAAAAAAGACACTGTTAAGGTAAAACTAACCCGCTCTTGAGTCCCAAATTTCCCATCAGCCACCAGATGAACCTCATAGGTAAAATTCATGGTCATAGCCAACTTGATCAGGAGATCAATACAAAATCCGTAACAACATTGGGGTACAATTGGGCGCCCTGTAACAAAACCAGCAATGGCTGCAAGTTACAATCAATCTGAAGACTCTGGACATAAACTGAACAAAATATGTGACACATTGTAGTGCAAATGACCATAAACAATCTTATTGCATACAGTCCAAGCAATCACTCATTCTGAATGGAACCCTCAGCTACATGCATACATACTGTATATATATGCCTACTGCATACACTGTATATGTATACATTTCCAGTGATTGTTTGGCGGGTGAAGTGAAAGCACAGTGATGTGTTACCTGGGATGGTTTCATTGGGCCCAGTGCAGATAACCTTTTTAATTAAGACTCCATTTAAGGTCATTTCCTCCTTGCATGTTCCATCTGCCAAAGTGGGTTTCACATACACAAATGGCTCCTGGTGTATCGTCACTATCTACAACAGACAGGACAGAAAGCTATTTATCGCCTAGTCAGAACTGTATAAGATCGGCCCTGAGGGACTTCAGAGTGGCAAAGCAAGAGTGAAAGAAAGAGAGAGAATAAAACACTTGGAAAACCCCAGCAGACACACAAATAGCCGTGTACCAACAACCACATACACATGGACGCACAAAGACAAATTGATGATTGTAAAAATAACCAACAAGGAAACAAATGAGATAAAAGTCAGAGCAAATATATCACTGCTGCCTTTATGAAGATAGATTAACTGCACTCCCTTCTATAAAACAGATGTTAGTATTGTCTAAAAAGAGTCCACCAGCTGTCTGTACACAGTCTGTGTGAAAACAGATGTCACATTGGAGCAGAAAAGTGAAGGCGCCCTACCTTTAATCGAGTGGACATCTGGAAGCCCTGTGGTTTCTCAGTCTCTCCTCCGGGCCAGATGATTTTGCGCTGATTGTTCATTACCACCTGCAGGGATGCCACAGTATTTTAGGTGAGTGCTGACAGAAGGCATGCTGCTAATGAGGCTCCAATGCTGTGGATGAGCAGCAGTAATGAGTCAGCTTAATAAAAAAAAAAAACTCAGCAGTGCTTTTATTTATTGGGTTGGCCTCTGACCTTTGTATCCTACCTGAAGGTTTCGGGAATATACAACATTTTTAGATTTATTTTTTCAAAATTCAATGTAAATTGCAACAACTTGAGACTTTAGAAATGAGATAGAACATAAATTTTTTTCTTGAAAGTTACATTATGGTCTTTTGGCAGTTTTGAGAAAAAAATAGTTTCTATGTCTTTCTACTAAGGAAGAGTTGCATTCATAAGTGACGTTTTTGTTCTAAGGCCAAACAAACTATTCATAATGGGAATATGGTTGTGATTGTGATTTTCATAATTAAGTGAAAAAATGTAAACCAAGTGAAAGCAAAATGTTGAGCAATAATGTTAAATATTTTTTCATTATTTATCTGTATTTTTAAGGCTTATGAAGTGCACAGGTTTCATGTACATGCACCTCCAGCTTTCCATGTAGAACTGAACATTGTTAACTAGAACAGTTAACAATGGACAAATCTAAAGTCGTCCTCGGCAAGGATTCCAGTATATTGAAGCACAACCAAATATTGGCATATTTCAAAATGTTTCTAGTCAATTTTAATGTTTAAAAACAGACTTGGACCTTTCAGCCAGAGAGAGCAGTGAGACATTGCTGTCCACCCTAGTGTTATGCTTTAATTAGCCACATTCTCTATTTTCTTTCTGCCTAACTGGATGTAACTTGTATCAAAGAGAAAAGAGCCACCTCTGTCTCTGTGAGTATACCTGCGTTCCATTGTATATGCCGACTTGAATGAGTCGACTCTTCTGGTAATTGAGTATACTATAGTGGGCGTACTTCCTGTCGCCGTCGTCATTGAACTCCACTCGTCCTGTGAGGCCCTCTGGATATTTAGATGACATGAGCACCCTGTGGCATACAAATAAGAAGGGTTATACACATGAATGAGTGTGTATGTGTTCACACATGGACATGGTGTCTCATCTGTAAGTAGTGCAATGCTGCACAAGGCTCTCAATTTGTGGTGCAGTTAAGTGGCTGATTCAACACAGCTTTTGTTGAAAGCATCATGAACAAGGCAGAGCTGTGGCTGTTCAGCTGCTTTTATCACTGCATCTGTGTGGATGCAGAAAATCTATTAAATTTGTAAACAACAAAAACCTGACAATCAACATTTTGTAAAGCAGCTTACAAATCAGAACTGAAAAAAGTGGAAAGAAGAAATCTTTGGGTTCATCACTTCACACTTTGTATAGTACTTTACTCATACTGGATTCCAGTATGCTGGTTGTTTGTCATAACACCCTCAACAAACCATGAAAAAAGAAGAAGAGGCACTGGGTTACACCTATATCCCAGCTTACCGTTTAAAGAGGGGCCCTGTTTTCCAGATGTTGGTGTTGCCCACACATCCTCTTGGGGGTTCTGTAATATTTTCCTTCTCAAAGAGCTCCTGGATGGACTGCGCCACCACAGCCACTGCATCATTGATGTGGGCTGACTCATTCTTCCCGTTGATGAGCTGGAGGCCGATCAGACCTGAGACCAGGCCAACAACAAAGTAAATCACTGACCTGAGCAACCTATAGTCTCCCTGGATGGGGAAAAACCTTTAGGGCCTCCAGTCAGATATCAGCTGTATGATCCATCTTTGTTGCCAGGTAATCTCATGGAGAATAATTCAGAAAATACCCACATCTTTATGAGACCAGGCAACAGAAAGAAACTGATCACAAACTGATGATCTTCTCACAGCATGTGTTGAGTCCCTTTAGTTAGATCCTTTTTTACCCTAAGGTTTGAGTAATCACACACAGCACAGCCAAAGCATCTGTATTAAACCAAAAGTATTGTCAGACCTAAATTTAAACCAGACAACAATCCAACTTCAGCTAAGTTTTCTGATTACAACCAGGTCCATTAGTCTTGCAGGCTCCTTGATGAAGCTACAGTGGAGGTGGGTGAGGCTGGACATGAACAGGACCACAAACGCTCTGGACATTGTAGCTTATCATTCTATCAGTTGCAAACCTTCTCCTTTTAAATCATTAGAAACCAGGGCATTAATATGACAGAGTAGAACAATAAGGTTAGTTTTGAACAATCCATGATGTACACATTTAAACAAAAAACTGGGAGTGGGCAAACACCACATTTAAACCTTTAAACACACAATTCTTAAAAGTTTAAATGTTCAACACACCACAAGCAGTTATACAGATAATTATGTAATGCATCCACTGTTAAACAGTTCATCTCTCTGGACCGGTGTGTGGTATGATTGGCCTCTGAGTAAAGCCGGGGTTAACTTCTGTGTTCCCACTGATCTCTACTAGATCAACGTACCGTCTGGTGCCTCGCTCAGGGCTTTACCCGACATCTCCCGCTCGCCCACCAGCCACACATAGCCAGAGCCCGTCATGTTGAGGAAGCGGGCAGCCTTGTACACTGCAGCAGCATCCTCCTCACTGGAATTTGCCATGTTGAAAAAAGATTGAAAGAGATTGTTTTTTGCATCAAATCATACTGAATGAGAATGGAATGGATAAATTTGTGATTATTTGTAGTTATTCTGTGTGTATACATACAGCTGAGTGCAAACGTTTGCATCCCCTCACTTTGAAATGGCAAAAAGAGCAAAACAAATAATATTTTTGCATCGACATATTTAATGCGCATTCAGCTAATGCAAATGTTCCCTCATCAACAGAAGCAACAAAAATGGTCAGTGTGTAAAAAGAAAGTTATAGTAAAATAATGAAAATATCAGCACAAAAGCTGGCATCCCCCTTTATGAAATGTACTTTGTATGTCCTGACAAAGTCCTTAGAGGCAACTGGCATAAGAGTCCATATCTTTACAGTCAAGTGTAGTCTGTACAAGTCTGGATTGTTTGGGAGACTTCTAGACATAAGGCAGCACAGTTGCAGTTGTTAAGGAGCAAGATTATGTGGTCTGATCAGATCAAAGATTAATTCTTTGGTCATAATTCACACAGGCATGTGTGGTGAGAAAAACACTTGGCCTACGAACGATGGAACAGCAGGAAATCTAGATGTGTTTTATCAATTTTAGACACATTTCCAGCAGAAAACATTTGCAAATGTTTCTAAAATTTGGCATAAACTACATAACCATCATTTAGATGCTACCTACAACTGAATATAAAGATCCACAGCTGGGCTGAGCAGAGGGTTTAGAAGATTTAGCACTTTTAGTATTTTTGGTGTAATTCCATTGCAATGTGCAAAGTCAAAATTGTTAAGGTCTGGCTTGTAGTGCATCTATTATCAGTTATGATTATTTATCATCTTTTTCCTTAAGAAAGGGTGTCAAATGTTTAGCCTGGAACGTTAGATGAATTTCTTTAAAAACAGTCACCTTTCAGTTCATATTTTGGAACTGAATGGGCAACATTAATTTGTAGTGAGTTAATTTTACTAAATGTAATTATATTTAGTTTTACACAGTAAAGAAGAAGGGGAACAGTGGGAATAAAGAAAAAACTGTTTTCCTCCTATTTTGTGGGTGTTTTTATTGGTATATTGATGTATTTTGTATTTTTATTTAAGTTATTTGCTTTGTTTTTGCCTTGTGGGGATATATTTGTGTTTGTGTGGAGGGGTCATTATGAGAGATGACCTTTGGACATGTATTCTTTCCTTTAAATAACAAAAGATAAAAAAATAATTAAAGTAATCTTTTGTTTTGCCCATTTCTATTTTGAGTACATTTCTAAAAATGTGCAAGTAAAAAAAAAAAAAAAGCACCCATACTGGTGAAGTTGGAACCTTGAGGGCATTTTTTTTTTTAGCAATGTGAGTAAATATGATGCCTTCACCAATGCTCCCTCTGGGAATGTAGGTGTTTGTGTGTGATTTGGGGTAAAAATCCTACCTGGCGGACAGGATGATGACTCGGGCCTCGAGCTCTTTCGCCTCCAGCAGCAGGGCAGTTAAGTTAGTCTCATGGCTGAACTGGAGGACTTTGTCTGCCTGTGATCAGGGCATAAGAAAGGTCAAGCCAGCTACGTTTCCCAAACCTCAGACACCATGCTGCCTCTGTACCTGCTTGGTTCGAGCTTGGCCGATTTAGTTTGAAAACGGGAGACAGAGATAAAAAGGAAAGCGATCCAGGGGAACCGGCTGAACTAAAAAAAAAGCTTGAAGGGAAAAAAGCTTTTGCATTTGTTTGCATGCAAACTGAGGGTTATCAAGGCTCCAAAGAAGGACGTGCATGTGTTAGGTAGGGGGAAGAAGAAGGTCAATGCAACCAGTAACTAAAGACGGGTGAAGTGGGGTGAGGGGGACATTTTCCCCCAACAAAAAATTGTTAAAAACTAGGGAAGTGCTACGGAACAGGAGCAAGTAGCATCTGGGAAACGGTTTTGTCCCACTCTACCGGTTCTTCACAAAGGACTGGACTTGCAAACTCTTTTGGTGTGTGTGTGTGTGTGTGTGTGTGTGTGTGTGTGTGTTCTGAGTACATGCATTCCTTTATTAAAGGAGAAAATGAAAATGATAAAATCGAGGCGCTATTCACTGATTTCTTTTTTTTTCTGTAATGACCAAAAATGAAAGCTTTTTCATAACAAAATCATTCTTTATTAAAATCATAGGAAAATGTCTCAAAGTAAACAACTAAAGAAAAGACGTGCTACCAAGAGAGGGACATTTCTGGGTCGGTTGGTGACTGGTTTGGGCTGGTTTCTAGTTGCTACGTTTGGAAAGTTGGTGGGCGGCGTGCATTGACCATGCAAATATACCTTAGGTCCTCGCTTGTTGTCATAGGACAGTTGGTCGAGGTTTTCATAGTTCCTTTTTTTATTCTGATGAGTAATGTGCACAGAGAAAATATGCAGACACAGAAAAATATTATAAACAGTTGAAAATGGAGGGCAGTAAAGCATTCCAACAAATTCCCACTTTTCTGCTTCAAACTGGGATCTTTAACAGAGGGGCTTGCAAAAAACATCAGAGCTGACAGCTCAGTAACAACTCTAAAATTATAGTATGTATAATGTTAAATAAAGTACTATTCAGTGCAATTTATTCATTGATGCTATCAATTATCAGTTTATAACTCAAGGATTCAGCTGCATTGATCAACTCTATGAAATATCTGGGTACGCTGTTTCTTCTTCACCATATTGCAAACTAAAGCCGACATTTAACAAATGTGGCTGTCACAAACCAACACACCAATGGGTTCAAAGTATGAGCACATTTTTTGGCTTCCTTAAAAAATATGAAAAGCCTGTTAAAAGTTTTGCTGCATGTAAACATGAGTGGAAATTGCTTATTTATCCAACCATCTGTTTTACTGGCTCCAAAGTGCCACTTCCAGAGGCTGTGAGTTCTATACTTAGTATTAATAACTTGTGTGACCAAACACTTGACACAACACACCAAAGCTAGAATCCATCATGTAGCGCACGTTACTTACATCATTTTAATTGATTTTTTACAGATATGTTCAATACTGTGGTTACTCATTTAATAGTGGTTTACAAACTCATGGATTTGAATCAAAAAGTCTTTATCAAGCTTAAATCACAAACATGCTGACAATTCACACACTGATATTCTACTCGACAATACAATTTCAGCAAAGAGTCCAGAGCTGTGTCACGTACAGTAGTAATTCTAAGCAGATTCTAGTTCACACTGGACAAATTAAGTATACAGTGAATTCTTTAAAAAAACACCAAATTTTTGAGTGTTCTTTTTTTTATTCTACAGTCCCAGACTTTATTGCACAAGGGAAATAGACTCACACTTGCAAAGAATCAGAAAACTCTGGATTGTAGCAAGACAGTTTCAGAAAGATCTTAAAAATAAGTATTGTATTAAATCTTTAGAAAACATTTTTGCCTTGCCACTTTGAGGTTTAATTGGCAGAGACATTCCAATATTGATGGATGTCTGATCGAAGTACTGTATAATTTCCTGTTGGTATAAACAGTTGACTAACTGTGAAAGCAATAAAGCACAACATTTATATTGTGCATCCTGTAAATTATTAGGATGGCATAAGAAATTTGGACACAAGATACTGACTTTCAGTAATTCCTGTGCAGGGTTCTGTGAGAGGAGCGTTCTGCCCATGGATGTATTATAAGAACAGGATACCAAACTAAA